CCTTTAATGTTGTTTTGTTTTACATTGTGCTGGTTATTGTATATATCTCTTGGTTCTTTTGACTTTGCTTTCTAACAATTCATAAAAGTCTTCCCAAGTCTCACTGCTTTACCTATATTCATAATTCCTTATGGTATAATATTCTAATAATCAATAAATATTAAGTGACCACAAAGGGTGCCTGGCACTGTACAGGGGGAGGGAAGGAGGGAAAAAGGAAGGAAGGAAGAAAAAGAAAGAAAGAAAAAGAAGGGGGAAGGAAGGAAGGAAGGAAGGAAGGAAGGAAGGAAGGAAGGAAGGAGGAAGGAAGGAAGGAAGGAAGGAAGGAAGGAAGGAAGGAAGGAAGGAAAAAGAAGGAAGGAAGGAAAGGAGAGAGGAAGGGAAAGGAAGGAAGGGAGGAAACAAGCATTTTTATCAAGCACTTACTATATGATAAACATTGTGTAAGGACTTCACAGATACCCTCATTTGACCCTCACAATAACCCTGAGAGATAGGTACTATGTTATTATTATTCCCACTTAACAGGTGAGGAAACTGAGGTTGGGAGAGGTTAACTGACTTGGCCAGGGTCAACACAACTAGTATGTATCTGGAGGGAGGATGTACATTGGGCCTTCCTGACTCCAGCCCAGAGCTCTATTGTTCTACTTAACTGCCTAGATTCCTTTGTTCTGGAGATACAAGTATTAAAAATTAAACCAGTGCCCTACACAAGCACACACACACACACACACACACACACACACACACACACATCTACATACATATAAACATAAGTACAGCATATATAAATATATACATATATAATAAATAGTTAAAATTATAACAATAGCTAGCATTTACACAGCACCTTAAAGGTTGGCAAAGCCTGTTTAAAATTTTTTCCTTTTTTAATTTTGAACAATATTTCATTTTTTCCAATTACATGTAGAAATAATTTTTAACATTTGTCTTTTTATTTTGAGTTCCAAATTCTCTCTCTCCCTCCCCTCCTCTCTCCCCAAGTTGGCAAGTAATTTGATATAGGTTATACATGTTCAATCATGCAAATATATTTCCATATTAGTCATGGTGTGAAAGAAAACACAGATAAAAAACACACACACACAAAAAGAAAGTGAAAAATCATATACTTCGATCTGCATTCAGACTCCATCAGTTCTTCCTCCAGAGGTGTAAAGCATTTTCATCATGAGTCCTTTGGAGTCTTGGATCATCGTATTACTGAGAATAGCTAAGTCATTCACAATTGATCACCATGCAATTTTGCTGTTACTGTGTACAATGCTCTGGTTCTGCTCCTCTTCACTTTGTATTAGCCCATGTAAGTCTTTCCAGATTTTTCTGAAAGTATTCTGTTTGTCATTTCTTATAGCACAATAGTATTCAATCACAGTCATATACCACAGTTTGTTCGGTCATTCACCGATTGATGAGTATGCCCTAAATTTCCAATTCTTTTCCAATATGAGTTACTATAAATATTTTTATACAAATTTGTCCTTTTCCCTTTTTTATCTCTTTGCAATATAGACCTAGTAGTGGTATTTGTGTGTCAAAAGGTATTCATAGATTTATAGCCCTTCTTGGACATAGTTCCAAATTTCCTTCCAGTCAGGTCAGTTCACAATTCAGCCAATAGTCATTAGTGTCCCCGATTTTCCCACATCCCTTCCAACACCTCATTTTCCTTTTCTTTCATATTAGATAATCTGATAGGTATGAAGTGGTACCTCAAAGTTGTTTTAATTTGCATTTCTCTAATCAGTAGTGATTTAGAGCATTTTTTCTTTTTTGTTTGAGTCTTTTTAGGGGGGAGGAGAGGTAATCAGGGTTAAGTGACTTGCCCAAGATCATAGAATATTTTTTTCATATGACTATAGATAGCTTTATTTCTTTATCTGAAAACTCCTTGTTCATATCCTTTGACCATTTATCAAATGAGGAATGATCTGTATTCTTATAAATTTGACTTAGTTTTCTATATATTTGAGAAATTTAGGCCTTTATCAAAGATATTTGCTATAAAAAATTCTCCCAGCATTCTGTTTTCCTTCTAATTGCATTGGTTTTATTTGTGTAAAAACTTTTTCGTTAATCAAAATTATCCATTTTACATCTCACAATGCTCTTTATCTCTTGTTTGGTCATAAATTCTTCCTTTATCGATAGATCTGACAGGTAAACTATTCCATGTTCCCCTAATTGGCTTATGGTATCACCCTTTATATCTAAATCCTGTACCCATTTTGGCCTTATTTTGGTATATGGTGTGAAATATGTTGGTCTATACCCTAGTTTATGCCAAACCGTTTTCCAGTTTTCCTAGTAGTTTGGTTTTTTTTTTAAATAGTAAGTTCTTGTCCCAAAAGCTTATATCTCTGGGTTTGTCAAACACTAGATTAATACGGTCATTTACTACTTCATATTGTATACTTAATCTATTCCACTGATCTACCGCTCTTATTTCTTAGTCAGCACCAGATTGTTTTGATGATTAGTAATTTGTACTACAATCTGAGATCTAGTATGGCTAAGCCACCTTCCTTCACATTTTCTTCATTGATTCCCTTGATATTCTTGATCTTTTGTTCTTCCACATGAATGTTGTTATTATTTTTTCTAGCTCTATAAAATAATTTTTGGTAGTTTTATTTGTATGGCACTGAATAAGTAAACTAATTTAGGGAGAATTGTCTTTTTTATTATATTGACTCAGCCTATCCATGAGCAATTAATATTCTTCTAGTGGTTCAGATGTGAATGCAGAGATGGAGAACCTGCAGCCTCAAGGCCACATGTGTGAAAAATTGTAATTGTGTTCATATGGTTCCTGGCTTCATCTTGGCAAACAGACTCCCAAGTATTTTGTATTCTCTACAATTATTTTAAATGGAATTTCTCTTTCTATCTCTTGTTGCTGGACTTTGTTGATAACATATAAACATGTTGATGATTCATGTAAATTTATTTTGTATCCTGCAACTTCGCTCAAGTTGTTAATTATTTCAACTAGTTTTTTGATTGATTCTCTAGGGTTCTGTAAGTATACCATTATATCGTCTACAAAGAGTAATAGTTTTGTCTCTTGATTGCTTATTCTAATTCCTTCAATTTCTTTTTTTATTCCTATAGCTAGAATTTCTATACAATATTGAAAATAATAGTGTTGATAATGGATGTCCTTGCTATACCCTTAATTTTGGTGGGAAGGAATCTAGTTTATCCCCATTAGAGAAAATGCATGCTGATGGTTTTAGATAGAAACTACTTATCATTTTAAGGAAAGCAGCTAGGCGGCGCAGTGGATACAGCATCGGCCCTGAAGTCAGGAGGACCTGAGTTCAAATCTGGCCTCAGACCAAACACTTGACACTTACTAGCTGTGTAACCCTTGATAAGTCACTTGCCCCCAATTGCCTAAAAAAATAAAGCTCCATTTACTTCTTATGCTTTCCCGTGTTTTTTATAGGAATGAGTGTTGCATTTTGTCAAAAGCTTTTCTGTACCTATTTAAATAATCACATGATTTATGTTGGTTTTGTTATCATGGTCAGTTATGCTGACAGCTTTCCTAATATTGAACTAGCCCTGCATTCCTAGTATAAATCCCATGCATGATCTTTGTGATATATTGCTGTAATCTCCTTGCTATTATTTTATTTAAAAGTTTTGCATCAACCCATTAGGGAAATTGGTTTATAGTTTTCTTTCTCTGTTTTTGCTCTTCCTTGGTTTAGGTATCAGCACCGTATTTGTGTCATAAAAGGAATTTGGAAAGACTCCTTTGCCTATTTTTTCAAATAATTTATATAGTATTGGAATTAATTGTTCCTTCTATGTTTGGTAGAATTTACTTCTTAATCCATCTGGTCCTGGGGATTTTTTTCTTAGGTAGCTCATTTTGATGTCTTGCTCAATTTCTTTGTTTAAGATAGGGCTATTTTAAGTATTCTATTTCTCTTCTGTTAATGTGGGCAATTTGTACTTTTATAAATATGCATCCATTTCACTTAGATTGTTAGATTTATTGGCAAAATATTGAGCAAAATAGTTCCTAACAATTGTTTCAATTTCCTCTTCATTTGGTGGTGAATTCGCCCTTTTCATTTTTGATAATGATAATTTGTTTTTCTTCTTTTTTTTTAGCCAAATTAACCATTGGTTTATCTATTTTACTGAGGTTTCCCCCCATAAAACCAATAGCTCCTAGTTTTATTTTTTAGTTCAATGGCTTCCTTACTTTCAATTTTATTAATCTTTCCTTTGATTTTCAGGACTTCCAATTTGGCGTTTAACTAGGGATTTTTAGTTTGCTCTATTTTTTTTAATTGCATACCCAATTCAATCATCTGTTCTTTCTCTATTTTATTGAAATAAGCATTTAGAGACATAAATTTTCCCCTAAGTACTGTTTTGGCTACATTCCATAAATTTTGCTATGTTGTCTTATTGTTGTCATTCTATTTAATGAAATTATTGATTATTTCTATGATTTGTTCTTTGACACATTCTTTAGGATTAGATTATTTAGTTTCCAATTAAATTCTAATCTATGTTTCCATGGCCCTTTATTGAATGTAATTTTAATGCATTATGATCTGAAAAAGATGCATTTAATATTTTGCTTTTCTGTATTTGGTTGCAAGATTTTTATGCCCTAATATATGGTCAATTTTTGTATATGTGTCATGTATCACTGAGAAAAAAAAAACTACATTCCTATCTATTCCCATTAAATTTTCTCCAGAGGTTTATCATAGCTAACTTTTCTAAGATTCTATTCATTTCCTTAACTTCTGTTTGTTTATTTTTCAGTTAGAATAGCTCTGAAAGGGATAAGTTGAGGTTCCCCATTAGTATGGTTTTACTATTTCCTCCTATAATCCTTTTAACTTTTTCTTTAAGAATTTAGATGCCATTCCTACAAATACTTTTTCATGTGACTCCTACAACAACCCTGAGAGGTAGGTGCTATTATTATCTCCATTTTACAGATAAGGAAACTGATACAAACAAGAGTTGAATAACATGGCCAAGGGTCACGCAGCTAGTAAGTATCTGAGGCTAGACTTGAACTTGACTCTTCTGATTCCAGGTCCATTGTTCCATCCACTGTGCCATCTAGACAAGTAGGACATAAACCGAGAAAAAGCAACATCACACTAACCCTAAGAGGGAACAGTAGCCACAATTTCTTTAGCTACTATTACCCAAATGTTGGATTCACATTTTGTTTTTAGTTCCTTACTATTACAAAAAGGATTTCTATAAATATTTTGGTATATGTGAGACCTTCCCTGCTCCTTAAGGGGTATACAACAGTGGTAACATTGAGTCAGAGGGCACGAATAGTTTGGTAACTTTTCTAGCATAATTCCAAATTGTTTTCAAGAATCGTTAGACTTTGCAGTTCCACAACAGCACATTAATAATAAGTAACATTTATAATATAGTACCCATCACATGGTAAAGTGCAAAGCACTTTACAAATATTATCTGATTTGGTCCTCACAACAACCCTGGGAAGTAGGTGCTATTATCACTCCCATTTTACAGATGATGAAACTGATGTTAAGTGACTTGCCCAGGGCCATAAAGCTAGTAAGTGTCTGAGGCTGAATTTGAACTTGGGTCTCCCTGACTCCAGGCCTAGCACTCTATTCACTGGGCTACCTAGCTTCCCTATTAATGGGCTTGTCTTCCTACAACCTCTCCACCATTGACTATTTCTATGCTTTTTGGTATTTGCCAGTTTTTTATTCCTATGAAGTAAAACTTCAAAGTCTTTGTAAATTTATATTTCTCTTATATTTATATTACCGCATTGCATTACTAATGATTTGGAGCATTTTTCATGCAGTTGATGACAATTTTCAATTCTTTTGAAAACTGTATATTATAAGTACTCTCTATCGGAAAATATTTTTATTACTTCACATTTATCTTTGATATCAGGCTTTTAGCAGAGATATTTGCTGCAAAGATTTTTCCCCAGTTTCTCTTATTTGGTTAAATATTGTATGATCAATATTATCTATTTTGTCTTTTATGATCTTCACTTTCACCTATTTGATTATGAATGTTCCCCCAAACCATAGTTCCATAAGGCTATTTGCTATGACCATTTATACTACAATCACTTATCCTTTCAGAGCTTATTCTGGTATATGATGTAAGATGGTGGTATAAACCTAAATTGTGCCAAATTGCTTTGTTGTTTTTCCAGTAGTTCCTCTATTATAAGACAGCCCTTTCTCTATATTTGGGGTGTTGAATTTATCAAATGTTGTGTTCTTGTGTTTGATTTCTTCTGGTTCTTGCTTATATAATATGTTCCATTGTCCAACTAATGCCATACAGTTTTTGTTTTGTTTTTTGTTTGTTTGTTTGTTCTGGGCAATTGGGATTGTGACTTGCCCAGGGTCACACAGCTAGTAAAGTGTTAAGTGTCTGAGGCTGGATTTGAACTCAGGTCCTCCTGACTGCAGGGCTGGTTCTCTATCCACTGCCCCTATACAGTTTTAATGGCTGGTGAAAACGTACAATTTGACAAGTGCTATTTTACAGTATAATTTTCGGTCTGATGATATACTACTACTTTTAATTCATGCTTTTTTCCCCTTATTTCCTTTGAGGTTCTTGACCACTTTGTTTATCCAAATAAATTTTATCTAGTTCTCTAAAAAGTAGCACTCTTGTACTTTGCTTATCATAAAAATAAACATGTTAATTAATTTGGGTGTGCAACACCTAAATTTTGTTGCATTGGCATAATCAACCATGAGCAGTGAATGTCTCTCTAATTATCTTGTCTACTTTTATTTCTGTAAAGAATTTTTTCAGTTGTATTAATTACAAAGATAGATGTATTATATATGTCAAAAACAGTTACTGTGCTTCTCCCTTGCCCTGGTTTGACCTCATTTGGAGTGCTGCATCCATTTCTGGGTGCCATATTTTAGGACAGAGTGTCTGGAGCATTCCAGAGCAGGAAAACAGATGATAAAAGGACCAAAGACCCTATGAAGATCAACTGAGGGACCTATGGAAGTTTATCCTGGAGAAGAGTAGGTTTATAAAGGACCAAGTATATATGGTCCAAGATCATAAGATATATGAGTCACTTATTGTTGCTGCTGTCATTCAATCATTCAGTCATACCCAACTCGTTGCGACCCTATGGACCATACTCTGTATGATGTTTTCTTGGCAAAGACACTGGAATATGAATTACCATTTCCTTCTCCAATGGATTAAGGCAAACAAAGGTTAAATGACTTTTCCAGGGTGTCTTAAACTAATACAATTTAGAATCACTGAATCTTAGAACCAGAAGGGAACCAAGAGCAACACCTCTCAGTCAATTTCCCTCCATCCTCCTCAACAAAAGAGTGCCCTTTAAAGCACTGCTAACTGTCTAGGTTAGGTGTCTAATATACTAACCTATTTAAACACAGGCATCGAGGTGGCCCATTGGATAGACAGGTAAACTTAGAGTCAGGAAGAACTGAGCTGGAATCCTGCCTTAGGCATTTACTAGCTATGTGACCTTTGGGCAAGTCACTTAACCTCTTCCAGCCTCAGTTTCCTCATCTGGAAAATAGGCATAATAAAAGCACCTACCTCATCTTTTTGTAAAGATCAAATGAAATAATCTTTGTAAACTTTATAGTGTTATGCAACTTCTAGCTGTCATTATTATTATCACCATCATCATTATTATCTCTAGTGTCAAGAAACCCACTATATCACAAGTCCATTGATTAAATAGCATGAATGTTTCATTAATAATTTATAGGGTTTAGAGGCTGCCAATCTTCCATGCCTGACCATAAATTTCATCATAGCAGTCCCTGTAATTAGGAGATCATTGAAGGGATCCCTTCTAAGAGACAGCCAACTTCTCAACCAGACCAATCAGTATCACACAAAGATCACTGGACTTAGCATCAAAATATCTTGGTTCAGAATCTGGCTTTGGCACCTGACTTAGCTGTGTGGCCCTGAACAAATCACTTAACTTCTCTGAGACTCAGGTGGCTTCTCTGTTAAATGAACAATAATCAAATCACGTGTCTATAGATTCAGGGCTGCAAGGGACCTTAGAGGTCACTGAGTCCAACCCCTTAATTTTAGAGACAAGGAGACTGAGGCCCAGAGAGGTTGGTTAAGTGATTTGTCTAATGTCAAATATTTGGTAGATATCAGAGGCAGGATTCAAACCCACATTACCCTGACTCCAGGTACAACATTTTATGCACTATGCTAAGCAGTGTCTCTTAGCCACAAGCGCGCTCCTCACAATAGTCTTGTAAGGAAAAGAACTTTGTAAACCAAAGTACTACCAAATTCAAGTCATTATTACTATCACTGAGCAAAGGTTAAGGGAGACCTTTCCCAAAGCTTTAGCCAAAGGGCAGCCACTGTGCTGGCCTCTTCTTTTGTCTGTCTCTCCTCTCATGAAGATTCTAAACCGTGGGACGATACTTTCTAACTACAAGGAGTTGAGCTCAGTCATGGAGGTCCCATAAGTGACCCTCTGACCCAATCTATAGAATACATGATGGTGTATGTGTTAGTGGCACAGTAGATATAGTACTGTGCCTAGATCAGGAAGACCTGCATTCACGTCTCACTTGAGACACTTACTAGCTGTCTGACCCTAGGCAAGCCATTTAACCTCAGTTCCCTCATTTGTAACATGGGGATAATAGTAGCACCTACTTTCCAGGGTTATTTTTATCAAATGTGATAATATTTGCAAAGTGCTTAGTACCATGCCTGGCAAATAGTCGGTGCTGCAGTAAATATTTGTCCTCTCCCCTTCCCCCAGCTGCTCAGATTCCATCCTAGCAATACTAGCCCTTGAGCTATGGTCCAGAATTCCCAACCTCAAGGGAATGCTTACATGCCATGAAAGCCCCCCGAGGTGTACACAGCAGCCAAAGCCACACACAATATCAAACTCCAGAGACCGAGGAAAAGCCCAGACCACCTACCCACAGTCCAAGACGGGATCAGTTTCTCGGGCATTTCCCACACACAATCTCAGCACTGAAAGAGACCTTGAAGGAGGATCATGCGATCACAGGTGTGGAGCTTAGACAGACCTTAGAGGACATTTATGCCAGTCCCCTCATTTTACAGATTAGCAATTTGCCCAGAATCCTAAAAGGTAATGAGAGAAAGTTGAAGTTTGAACCCAGGTCCTTTGGCCCTATATCCAGTTTCTCTTTCTACTGTACCAAGTGTCAAGGCCAACTCATACCTGAATAGAAATATCTCTACAGCATATACAAGTGGTCATTTTGTATTAACCTGAAGACTTTCAGTGATAAGAAACTCACTACCTCCCAAAGAAAGTTGTCCCCTTTTGGAATACCTCTACTGCTAGGAAGTTTTCTCACATTTTGAGTTGAATCATACCTTCTATTGCTCACTCTTTTGCTCTCTGACAGGTCCAAGTGGAACAAGTTAAATACTTCTCCATAACTGCTTTTCTAATGATTGGAGATAGCTACCAAGCCCTCCTAAGTCTCTCTTCTCAAGGCTAACCAACAGACTTCACTTGCCAATGCCCTTCCTAAAATCCATTGTCCAGAACTGTAGTGATAGCACCTCACATTGTATCTGAGCTTTGCAGGGCTTGCCATGCCCTCTTTGGATGTCACACACTGAACTGGCAGAATTTCACCAAGTTGAGTCAGCTTCATCATACATATAGTATACCGGCCCTGAACACCAGTTCTATGATGCTTGACGTTTTGCAGAGTGCTTTCCTCATAATAACCCTATGAGGCTAGCAGGACAAGTATTATCTTCATAGTACTGATTATCAAACTCAGTCTAAAAAGTTAAGTAACTTGCCCAGCTGCTAAGGGTCAGAGTTAGGATTTGTATCCAGGACATAGTTTATTTTTTAAATAAAGTTTTATTGATGGCTTTTGTTCTTATATTACATTTGTTCTTACGTATTTTTTAATGTATCTTTCTCCTCCCATCCTATCCCAAAGTGTCATCCCACATAATAAATGTATAAAGAAAGAAAGAATAGGTGGGGGAAGGGAGGAGTTCTGCAAACAAAACAACATATTTTTTAAAAGTCTTGTATTATTTACATTATTCCATATCCACGATTGCCCAGTTCTGCAAAGGAACAGAGGGAGGCGCTTTCTTGTAACTCTTTGGGGCAAAGCTCAGTCATTACAATTTTGCTGCATTTCACTTTGGCTGATTATGCTGCTCTTCCCATTTATTTGGAATTAGTCATAATCTATATAGTTTTCCTGGATTTGCTTCTTTTACTTTGTATCAGTTTATATAAGTATTCCCATGCTTCTCTGCATTTGTCATAGTCATTGTTTCTTTGTTTAGTAATTACCCAATGGACCAGGGTCTGCTTTGTTTCCAGTTCTTTACTATCACTAAAAGCATTTTTAGAAATATTTTGGTAGGGGCAGTAAAGGGGAGGGGGCGTCTTTCTTTTTGTCATTGACCTTCTTGAGGTATATGCCTACCAGTGGCATCTCCAGGATACCCAGGCCACCAGTTCTAAGGGTAATGCTGCTTCTGCTACATGTCGCTTCCTCTCAAGAATGGCTTTCCCTAAAATAGGAACAGGAGAAGTTCCTGATGGCCTGTCATTGATGCCCAGCCTAGGTGTGTTCTGCCACCCCTGTCTGTGATGCTAACATACCCAATGCTCTGCCTTCTACTTTAGATTATCTTCCCTCTTCCCTTCAAAGTGGAAAACATCCACCAGAAAACCCAGTAAACCCATTCATAAAGATTTCATCTGTGGGGAAGGTATGGTCAAAGCCACCGGCATCTTACTGAAGAAGTCCAAGAGTAGTCAGGCAGCTTTTGCACCACAAGACCACAAAATATTCATGGAGGATGCATACAATTCGGGTGAGCCTGATATCTTGATATCTTCTATCACACACACCTCCCCCCGAGACACACACACACACACACACACACACACACACACACACACACACACACACCCAGTGCCCAAAGTTCTGAAGCTGAATGAGATCTAGTAACAGAGTGGGAGAGACTATACCAACCTCAGTGCTAAGTCATCCTCAGGGAGTGAGGGACCTCAGGGATATGAAAGGAAGAGAGCTAATTTGCAATTTAACCCCTCGTGGCAAGCAATGTAAAGTGGCACTGAGGGGCAAGCAGATGGGTCCTAAGATCAACTCTGATGGAGGGAAGACCTACACATTAGCTTTATAAGCAGAGACCTGGGATGTTACCTCATGGCAAGAAATACAAAGATCCTATAGAAGAAGGGTTGGGGGAGTAGTGGAAGGCAGGACCTCAATACACATGAAGCTGTTATTCAGAAGGCTGTCCCCTGAGAAGGAACAAAGGGTGATTGGAAGGTTACCTACTAAAAACTATTCTCTCAAAATTTCAGTGCTTTCAAAGCCACTGTCACCCCCTTCTAGTTACAGCTTTAGTAAAGAGTCCAAGTGCTCCTTAGGATTTATGAAAGGCCCCAGGACACTCAAGGGGGAGTGAGGTGCCTGGGCCCTTCCTATGGAATATGAGGTACCCAGAATATCTCTGCTAGATGTGAGAGCTATGGCTAATCCTAGAGGTTAATGATACCCACGGAAAATGATACCATATATCCACCCATTCCCCATTCCATTCAGGTGAAAATCCAGAGCACTCTTAAAGGAGGGGGAAAAAATCCCAAAAAAGTAGCCCGAGGAGCATGGAGAGAGGAGAGTTGTGGTGTTGGTATTTCTCTAGAAATTGGTCTTATACATTTGAGCCTCATCTATTTCCTCATCTACCCCAACTGCAATCACTACCCAAAGCAGCACCTGGGCCTGTCATCCCTAGCCTGTATACCTGAGACTCAGGCTGGGTCCTGTAACTTCTCATCTTTTTATTTCCTTCCCAGAGTTGAAGTTAGGGGCAGCTAAGTGGTGCAGTGTCAGAGTTACAACTACCTCCCAGAGTTGCTGTAAGAACCAAATGAGATAATAATTGTAAAGCACTTAGCATGATGCCTGGCAATTACTGTTATTATTATTATGAAACAGATAATGATAACAGTAATAACAAAAACAAGAATAAATATCTGACATCTATTATGCATTTCACAGAATGTTAGAACTAGGGGGAACCTTAGCAGTCCAAAGGTTCCCAAACTTATATAGCCTACTGCCACATTTTCAAAAAAATTTACTCAGTACCCCCTTGGAAATCTACTTTCTTTAACCTTTTAATGTTTTTTTTTTAAATTTGCATCATTTCAAAAAATATATAAAATATATTTTAAATGATGCATCTTAAATTTAATATAATTTGTTATAAATTTGTGGGGTTTTCCCTACATCGAAATTTTGATGACATCACATAACTATATAGTATTATATTATAAATAATTCATTACACACGCGTATTCCTGCCAATGCATGCTAGATTTCCCTACAGTGCCCAATACACCTTGCCTACCAACACTTGCTTGTTAAGACCTGTCAGTGGACTTGAGCAATGATTGGCTATAACTTGTGTTTTGCATGTTTAATTGGAAAATAATGTAATCACTATGAGTTTAAGTCTGTTACACAACAAATGAAACATGTACAAATGGTTTTTCAAATTTTTTATCTTCTCTTCTTTCATTATGTTCCCACCTCTCCCCCTTATTTTTGTTCAATGCTCTCCAATTATACCTGAGGCTATTGCCCCCCCCCGATCATTCCAGCACCCCCCAGGGGGCAGTATCACCCACTTTGGGAACCTCTCTGGTCTAACTCACCCCTGAGCAAGAATCCTCTCTACATTATCTCTATGTTATTCCAGACAAGTGATCACACCTAGCCTTGGCTTAAAAACTCCCACTATTGAGGAACCTCACTACTTCTAGAGATGGTCTACTCTACTTTTGCAGAGCTCCCATTGTTCAGAAGTGGTTCCCTACATTGAGTTTAAATTTACATCTTCCACCTATCAAAGTTCTGTCCTCTGAGGCCAAAAAGACAGTTGATATAGGATATCTCATTCATTCTTTCTCTGTGTGTGTGTGCGTGCGTGTGTGTGTGTGTGTGTGTGTGTGTGTGTGTGTGTTAAAATCACGGTCATTCTTCATTATTCCCATAAATAAATTTCTATATGCTCCATGGAACTCATATACTGCAAATACACAGGTCTATATCCATAGGGCCCCCATGAGGGAGGAGGAGGAGAGGCCAGAGGATACATAATCCTTTTGCAAGGTCTTAATTTTCAGGTTTGTCATTTGATCTTTAAGGAAAGGTGAAATAGGTCATGTAACCTTATCACATTCCATGTTACAAATGAGGAAAGTGATTTCTTTAGGACATGCTACCTGGAATATTGGTCGGTAACTAGTTTTGAGTTACTTTTGGGGTAGGTCACCGGCCCCAGCATGCTCCCCAACCCTCTTTCCTATGGTCATTCGATTCATCAGTGAGCACCTCCTACAGGCCCAAGCATAGTAAGTGATTGAACAATCACTCACAATATGGAAGAATGAGAGGACACCAGACAGACAGCTCTGAGTGAACAATAGCTGTTTTAACTTCTAAGCTTAGAGGTGAACTGGGAAATCAGGAAAGTATAGTTCAAGGGGCCCTTAATTCTAGGATTAGAAGATCTGGGTTCTAGTCTCAGCACTAGCTCACTATGTGACCTCAAGCAAGTCACTTCTCTGTGTATCAGTTTCCTCATCTATGAGAAGAGAACATTGAACTACGGTCCTTGCTGGCCCTAAGAATCTAACCGTAAAACAGGGTACCATAGTATCCCATTATGGGTATAGGCCATAATTTGTTTAGTCATTCCCTAACTGAGGGGCACTCCCTTACTTTCCAGTTCTTTGTCACCAAAAAAAGTGCTCCTATAAAAATATTTTTGTACCTATGGGTCCTTTTGCTCTTTCTTTAAGAGGTATAAATCTAGTAATGGTTTAGCTGGGTAAAATGGATAGACTTAAGATCTCCAAACAATGCGTGGATTCAGGGTGCAGAATGAGACATGCATTTTTGGATACGGCCAATGTGGGAATTTGTTTTGATTTGCTATGCATATTTGTTAGGAGGGGTTTTTTTCTTTCTTTTTGGGAAGAAGGGAGAAGAAGGGAGAGAAAATAAACACTTGTTAATTTTTTAAAAAAAACAAAACATAATTTTTTAAAATGGCAGGGCAGAAAGGGACATCTCTAGAGAGAGGCACAAACTCATTTCTCAGAGTGTAAGAAGGATCACCTAATGTAGCATAAGATACCAAGTGCTCAGAGTAAGCTAGCTATCCCCACCCATGTTGCATGGTAACCCTGTTCCTTTCCATCCTGTCTTCTCCACTTCAGCCATCTGTTTTAAGCTTCTCCGGGACTTGGGGAGTTCTGACATCCCCCGAGTAAAAATGGTAACCAAGAAACTCAACAACATGGCTAAGATAGAGCAGAATATGGTACTGGAGACCATCAACAATTACTTCATGGACAACTTAGAGGTAGGAACATTGAAAAAGAGTCATTTTTAAGAGATGCATCTTGGCCAAGAGGAAAGAGCTCCAGGCTTGGAAAATCAGGAGAGACCTAGATAGTACTCATACCTTAACCATAGATTCACTGTTTGGCCTTGGGCAAATTTCTTCCCCTTGCAGAGCCTTGGATTCTGTTTCTAAAAAATGAGGGGGTGACCCACCACTTAATCTTTAAGCCCTCTTCCAACTAATCATTAATCTGGTTTCATGTCAGCATTTGCACATTAGGAATGAAGCCATGTGCAAGGCATTATGTGGTACATGGCAAAAGCAGGCTTAGTCCCTGTTCTCACATGGTTTATCATCTAGATGAGGGACCTCTAGATGGTGACTCAAGGAATGAGCTAATTAGCCTTTGAGTCAGAAGGCCTGGACCAAGTCCTGGCTTCTCATTTACTAGCTGTGTCACCATAAGCTCATTTCAGTTCTCTTAAGTCTCAGGGTTTGGTTTTTTCCCCCCATCTTTTTAGTGGGCTCCTCTTCCCACGTCCTTAATGTTGGTGCTGTCCATGGTTCTGATATTAGCATTTTTCTCTCTCTATTTCTTCCTTAGCAACTTATTTACTTCCCCAGCTTTCATTACCTACTCTAGGTACATGAGTCACAACTCTCCTGTCTCAGTACATCTACACTGGAGGTAGCCCATGCCTGGGAGGCACACCTTCACCTCCATCTCTTCGAATTCCTCATTTCCTTCAAGATTCAACACAGATACATTCTTCTAATGTTTGTTGTTGACTCCTACCTGAAGTCTTTTCTATTCCACTTCTACTTTCCACCCAAAACTATCTTGTACATATTTTGCATTTACCTAACATATATACATCTACACACACATACACACACACACACACACACACACACACGAATATATCATTTCCCTGACCTTAAATTATAAGTCCTTTGAGAGTAGAGACAGCTTCTCATTTTGTCTCTGTATCTCTAGAGCCTAGCACAGTGCCTGACAACATTTTAAGTACTTAATAAATGATTATTGATCATTGCTTGATCTCTAATGCCTGTCTGTTATTCTTCTTCCACTTGGTATCTCTGATCCCACACTTTTGTTTGCCTACAAAAATACATTTCTGCCTGTTTATCACACTATCACCCAACATTTAATCTGTCTCAACTATACTCCTGTCTCAAACTGCAAAGTGTTTCCTTCTCACTCATCCTTTAAATTACAACTCAAAGGTTGCCTCCTCCAGGAAGATTTACCTGATGTCCTGCTTTGATAATAACTTTCCCACTCAGACCCTATGTAGCTCTCTGTTTTGTAAATATTCAATATAATTTGGAATAGTTTGTTTATGGGTTCAAGGAAGAGACATACATATGGCTTATTCTCAGAGAACTGATCTAACAAGTCTGCTATTGATACCCAACAAAGGATATATTGAGGACACGTACATTTCTGTGATTTAGCTGTTCTGGGTTCTAGCCTTCTGTCTCGACCCTGGGCTATATCTCAGACACTTACTAGCTGTGTGGTTCTGGGCAAGTCACTTAACCTCTGTCTGCCTTAGTTTCCTCAGCTGTAAAATGAAGGTAACAATAGCAGGTAGGGTTGTTGGGATAATCAAAGCAACAATATTTGTAAAGTGCTTAGCATAGTGGCTGGCACACAGTAGATACTTAATAAATGCTTGTTACCTTCCTCCTTATACCATGCCCATGTAAGTTCAAATGGAAAATGGTCAGCTCTGCTAGGACAAGTCTGGTTTTGAGTTGTCTATTGCTTCCCTCATGCCTGAAGGTGCATTATATTTAAGAGCAAACAGTCTATTCAGATGTACTTAATAGATGCATCAATCATAAGCAAGCCAGAGAAGATTAGCTACCCAGGATGGTTCAATTTATTTGATGCTTAGGGTTGCTCCTTAATGGATTCACCATTTACTCTGGCTCATTCTGTTGGCTTGTCAGCACTTCTTTCTCTCTCTCTCTCTCTCTCTCTCTCTCTCTCTCTCTCTCTCTCTCTCTCTCTCTCTCTCTCTCTCTCTCTCTCCCTCTCCCTCTCCCTCTCCCTCTCTCTCTCCTCTCCCTCTCCCTCTCCCTTTCCCTCTCTCTCTCCCTCTCTCTCTACATATATATATAAAATCTGTCTCTATCTCTCAACATGAGCATCATGTATGATTAGCCTGTGTCCCATATCTTGTGTAACCTGTGGCCCAGTGCCTCATATTCTAGGTTTATGCATACCTTGTTCTGTCTTGGGAGCTTCTTAAAATGCACTCTTTGCCTTATTTGTCCCCAATCAGAGTAGCCTCTAGAAATCTCATTAACTCATGGGTAGGTCTCAAAAATGGGTGAAAGGTCATTCAGGCCCTGTGCAAGCATCCAGCTAACAATGTATTTCAGCCACAGGGCTACTTTTAATTCCATACTACAGAAAATGTAGCAGCAAACTAAAGGATTCATAATAACCCAAAGTCATTATAATTCTCCTTCCCTCTCCAGTATTACTCTTAAGAGTTTGGAACTCCCCAAAAAGAATTTGTTGCTTGGATTCACTAGAGAAGGCACAGACTACAAGTTGTAGAGAAATTTCTAATGTTCTAAACCCTCTAGAGAGGGTTTGCTTCCTCTACCAATGAAACCACAGGTCCAGACCACTATTGACAACAAATTATTTCATATTATCTTAAACTTATTATTCCAAGTTTACAGATGAAAAAACTTAGATCTCAATCACAAATATCAGACCTAGATTTCAGACCCATGTCTCTTGATCAAATCCCGTGCTCTCTTTAATAAATTACAATGGCGGGCATGTCTAACCAGTGGGAGAGAAGTTTAGAGCAGGAGGAGCCTTCCCCAGAGCCCTTCAAATCTTACCCAGGAAGGCAGTTGTTGAAGTTTAGGGTCATTTCCAATCTCCCCCTTGTCAAGTCACATTTCTGTTCCTTAGTGACTCTTCTCTGTGTCACCCACAGCTTTCTGCCAAGCACAGATACCGATTATTCCAGGTCCTTGAGAGCATTATCCTCGAGGCTCCGGAAATCCAGGATGACTGGGGAGAAAGATGTATTGGGCTTGCTTTGGAAAACATGACCAAGACAACGGTAAGGACCTTTTCTGTAAGAGGTTTAACCTGTGACCTTTGAAGGCAGAAAGCCTCCCCTCCATCTAAAACACGCTTACACACTGTCATTCACATACACATACACACACATACACACAACTGGACTCATAATCAGTAGACCTGGGCTCAAATTCATTTATTAAGCACCTACTATATATTTAACATGGCTCTTGGGATGTGAAGTTTCAATAAGAAACAGTCTATTCCCAAGTAGCCTACAATCCATGATACCCACCATTACGTGATAAATATATTCTAAGCGAAGCCCTAAGAAGAAGACTGTGGCTAAGAGCAACAGTGAAGGAAGGTTTTCAACTTCTTGGCCTATAAATGACTTTGAACAACTAACCTCACCTTTCTGAGCCTCAGTTTCCAGAACTAATAAAATGGGATCATGAGACCTACACTACATACCTCATTAGGATACTTGAGGGAATGGGTCTGTAAACTTTAAAGCCTTTTAGAAATATGAAGTAACCTAGGCAAGGAAGGGGCGGGTTACTGTAACAAAGGAGGTTGGGGTAGAAGGAAATGTTCTCTCTTTTCTTGCCCCCTACATTGGTAATGGAGTCTTGCAACAAAAGCCCATGGCTACATATACCCAGTTATTAATAATGGCCAATCTATTCCACTTCAGCTCATATTGTTAGGAAGTTCTTCCTTTTATTGAGCCTCCTATAACTTCATACCTTAGCCCCTGGGTTTGTTTCCTTTGTAAGCCAAGAACAAATCTAATCCTCTTTATGTTACAATCCTTCAATATTCAAAGGGCTTGTGTCAAATTAAATGTCTAGTTTATATGCCCCCAAAGTTTATCTTTCTCACTTCACTATTTCTTTCAATGACATCACTGTTTACTCAGACTACCATAGTAGAAATCCTAAAAATCCTATCATTGACCCTACTCCCTCATTTCCCATATCTATTTAGTCACCAAGTTCTGCCATCTCTCTCTCCCATATCCATTCTTTCTCCTTATTCCCTTTATCACCATCTGGTACAAGCATGGACTGTTCTACAATAGCTTCCCCGCAGGCCTTCCCATCTCCACCTCCTTTACCTCCTTTACTTCCAGTTTGTCCTTCACATGCTGCCAGATTAAATTTATTGGTCATGTCACTGATCTGCTCAAAACCCTTCAGTAACCCCCTTTTGCTGTAGAGGAAATCCCAAACATACTTTAGCCTGACATTCAAGGCCTTCCACAATCTGGTGCCCTACCTTTCCAGACTGATGTCATAACCCTCTTCTTTCCCTATACCTATGATCTAGTTCACTGGAACACCCTCTGGCCTCTAATGCAATGCACTTTCTCATTTCTGTACCTTTGCTCAGATTATTCTCAGCCTTTGCAATGGATTTGCCCTTCTCTGCACCTATTGAAATCCCACCCCTGCATCAAAACCCAGGGCAGATGCCAACTTCAGGGAAGCCTTCTCTAGCTAGTTAACAACCATCCTCTGCCCCCTCAGAGTTTGGGTAGCACTTTGAACCTTTCAGATGCACCTGTCATATTAATTTGTAGTCCATCCTATACTGCACATATAGTGTCATACCCTCCATCATACAGTTAGCTCCATGAGAAGAAGGAATATGTCCTGTCTAAGCTTTGTATCTCCGTAGTATCTAACATACTACTCTGTACACAGTAGGAGTTTAATAAATTTTTTTACTTAAATAATTCTAACTATTCCTTATATTGAGAAAAAGTGCTCAGCAGCTTACAAATGACCTACACACACACACACACACACACACACTCAATTAACCCTCACAAATGTGCTGTGAATTAGGTAGCATAGAAATAACTACCCCTATTTTACCAGTGAAGAAATTGAGGGTCCAAAGATAAAGACTTGTTTAAAGTCACGTACCAGGAGTAACAATAGCAGCAGCAGCAGCAGCAGCAGCAGCAGCAGCAGCAGCAGCAGCAGCAGCAGCAGCAGCAGTAGTAGTAGTAGTAGTAGTAATATTAGTAGTAGGTATGCTAGGTAGTGTAGTCAACAGAGTTCCAGGCCAAGAAGACAATCTTCCTGAGTTCAAATCTAGCCTCAGGCACTTACTAGATATGTGACCCTGAGCAAGTCACTTAACACGATTTGCCTCAGTTTCCTCATCTGTAAAGTGAGGTGGAGAAGGAAATGGCAAACCACTCCAGTATCTTTGCCAAGAAAACCCCAAATGTGGCCATGAGGAGTTAAACAGAACTGAAATGACTGAACAAGAAATAGTAGTAGTAATAGTAATTAGTAATAATGGTATTATCTAATAACAGTGACATTAGTAATAATTATAATCATTCACATTTCTAGATACTTTTTTAAGGTTTATAAAACATTTTTCATACCATAATCACATAAGGGATATAAGACAAATATTAATATCACTATTTTACAGAAGAGGAGACTGAGTCTCAAAGAAGTAAAAAGTAAAATGACTCCCACATCATTCCATGACCAACAAATGTGTCAGAATAAAGACATGAATGAATGTTCTCTGATTCCAGGGCACTATGTAGTGTCCTTTCCACTACACTGCAGCTATCCCAGAAGTAAGTGAACTCCAAATCCAGTCCTGTGCAAGAAACTCTTTCCTGGCTGGTGTTCTTCCCACAATGTCACCCTAGCTCTCTACTGAGACAGTTCAGTACCTTCCTTGAATTTGGATGCAAATTAAGATGATGGAGAAGCCTTTGTCCATGGCTGGCCTTAGAAAGCAGTGAGATCAAATACCTACTTCATTCATACCAATAATGTACCACAAGAAGCATTCTTTTTTTGGGGGGGGCCAATTGGGGTTAAGTGACTTGGCCAGGGTCACACAGCTAGTAAGTGTCAAGTGTTTGGTCTGAGGCTGGATTTGAACTCAGGTCCTCCTGACTTCAGGGCCAGGACTCTATCCAACTAGCTGCCCCACACAGAAAGCATTCTTGAGGAAGGAATTTCACCTTCATGGGCTTCAGTTTTCCCATCTGTATGATAGTAATGAAAGCATGTGTGTGTGTTATGTATGTATATACTGTCCAGACCTTTGCATTAGCACTGGGAAATTTCTGATGAGGAAATTCTCTCTACAAGACAGAATTCTCTCTACATCTATTCTGCAACTTATCATCTTAGAAAAGTAGTTATGACACTGAAACTCTAAATGACATGCCCATGGTCACACAGCCAGTATATGTCAGAAAAGTGAGATGCACAACTGGCTCCTCTGACTCCAAGTCTATGCCATAGTGTCTCTTTGGATAAGGATTATATCATAGTGATAATGTATCATTTCTACCTCATAGAATTCCTCTCTTTTTGAATAATCATAATAACAATAGCTAACATTTATATAGAGCCTACTATGTGTCAAGCATTGTGCTAAGTACTTTACAAATATAATCTCATTCGATCCTTGCAACTCTGGGAGGTAGGTCCTGTTATTATCTCCACTTTATAGATGAGGAAACTGAGGCAGTCGGAAATTAAGGTCAAGGTCACATAGCCAATAAGTACCTGAGGCTGAATCTGAACTCAGGTTTTCCTAACTCCATGCCTGGCTTTCTGCCTACTGTGTCTCCTGGTTATCTTCATGGCACCCTTAAAGGCTGCTCAAATACCCTATTCTACCCAAAGTTTTAGCTGTTTCCCGCAGCTGCCAGTGCTGCCTTCGTTCCCCCATTATACCCATTATATTTACTTTATATTTATTTTGCATTTGTTCTATATATATTTCTATATGTGCATGTTGTCTCTGTCTTTAGAATGCAAACTCCCCATGGGCAGGGACTCTTTTACTTTTCTCTTTGTGTTTCCAGAGCCTGGCCCAGTGGCCTGGCACATAGTAGGCACTTGATAAATATTTGTTGATTGATTGCTGAGATGTATGTACTATACAGATAGCACATATAAAATACTGTGTATGCTGTTAGATGCTCAGCATTTGACTCATCAGACTTCTCCCCCACATGCTTGTCCTAATCAGGTTTTCCCCCTCCCCCTCTGCTGCCCTAGGAACTAGAAGATATTTATCAGGATGCTGCCAGCAACGTGCTCTTGGCTATGTGCAAACACTCTTGTAATCTAGTGTTCAGCAAGATCGAGGAAGATTTTCTAACTGGCATTTTCCCCCATCGCAGCCTTCTCTATGTGTTGGGCATCATCTCCACCAATGGTTTGGTTCTTCCTATGTGACTTTAGTAGTCTCCAATACATTGGGTTTGGTGTTCAGTCCACAGGGTGGCAGGTCTAAAAGACAGGACCAAGAACCTTCCTATTTTGTGTTCACATTGTCAACTACCCTCTGCAGAATTATAGTCAATTATAGCAGCTAGGTGGCACAGTGGATAGAAGACTGGGCATGAAGTCAGAAATACCTGAGTTCAAATCTGGCCTCACTAACTGTGTGACCCTAAGCCAGTCATACAACTGCTGTCTGCCTCAATTTATTCAACTGTAAAATGGGATAATAATACCTACCTCCCAGGGTTGTCCTGAGGATCAAATGAGATAATTATAAAGTGCTTGTCATAGTGCCTGTCACAGAGTAAGTGCTATTTAAATGGTAGCTGTTAGTGGATTAGATAAAGGAGTGGTGATAAATAGGAAAGAGACAAAGACAAACCTGTGTGAACGGGAGGATGGTGATACCTCAGAAAAGATAAAAGAAGTTTGGAGGAGGGGCAAGTTTGTGGGGGGAGGGAGTTAATTAATTCCATTTTGGACCTGTTGAGTTTGAGATGTTGATGGAGCATTAATTAGGAGATGTTGGTCAGGAAGGCAAGCAGTGGAAGGCTGGAGCTAAGGAGGATGATTAAGGTTAGATACATAGATTGGGAATCATCTACTCTGGAAGCTAATAAAATCTTCAAGAGAATAAATATAAAGGAGTGAAGGCTCAGGACAGAATCCTGGGGAACAACCATACTTAGATGGCAAGAAATGGGTGAAGAATCAGAGAAGTAGAAGATTGAGAAGAAATGTTCAGGGAGGTAGGAAGACCAGGAGGAAGTAGTGTTACAAGCTAAGGGAGAAGAGAATGTCCAAAGGAAGGGAACAGTCATCAGTGTCACAGACTACAGACAGGCAAGTGAAGAAGGGGGGGATGACTAAGAAAAGGCCATTGGGCTTAACAGTTAAAGCACTAGTAACCTTAATGAAGAACAGTTTCATTACATAGGAGGCAGAAACCAGGTTGAAAAAAGGACTAAGGAGTGAGTGAGTGGTAGAGAAGTGGGGGCTGGAAGTGTAAGAATCTGGCATTGAAAGGGAGGGGGGAGATTTAGAGTGGTAGAGTGGAAGGTGATGGCAGGGTCAAGTGAAGGGTATTTTTAAGGATGGAATAGCCCTAAGAATGTTCATAGGCAGTAAGAAAGGAGCCAGTAAATATATGAGGAAAATGGAGAGAGAGGTAGAGAAGAGGAGGGGAGGAGAGAGGAGAGGAGAGGAGAGGAGAGGAGAGGAGAGGAGGGGAGGAGGGGAGGGAGGGAGAGGAGGGAGGGGAGGGAGGGAGGGGAGGAGGGAGGGAGGGAGGGAGGGGAGGGGAGGGAGGGGAGGGGAGGGGAGGGGAGGGGAGGGGAGGGAGGGAGGGGAGGGAGGGAGGGGAGGGGAGGGGAGGGGAGGAAGTGAGGGGGGGAGGGAGGGAGGGGAGGGGAGGGGAGGGAGGGAGGAGGGAAGTGAGGGAGGGAGGGGGGAGAGGAGGGAGGGGAGGGAAGGGGGGAGGGAGGAGGGAGGGGAGGGGAGGGAGGGAGGGGAGGGGAGGAGAGGGAGGGAGGAGGGAAGTGAGGGAGGGGAGGGGAGGGGAGGAAGGGGAGGGGAGGAGAGGAGGGAGGGAGGAGAGGGGAGGGAGGGGAGGGGAGGGAGGGAGGGGAGGGGAGGGGAGGGAGGGGAGGGAGGGGAGGAGGGGAGGGAGGGGAGGGGAGGGAGGGAGGAGAGGAGAGGAGAGGGGAGGAGAGGAGAGGGAGGAGGAGAGGAGAGGAGAGGAGAGGAGAGGAGAGGAGAGGAGAGGAGAGAGAGGAGAGAGAGGAGAGGAGAGGAGAGGAGAGGAGATGGGAGAATAAGAAGGCTGCTAGGTGCTGTGCTAAGTGCTTTATAAATATTATCTCATATCTCAAAAGAATTGAGGATATACAAATAGAGGGGCTAGCCTTGGAAAACAGGATCACTTCTTTCCTTAGAGGGGTGAGGGAGAAGAGGATGGATAAAAATGTTGAGAGGTTTAGAGTATGGAGTAGAGATGAGGAAATATATGATGGATGGTCTCTATTTTCTTTAAGTGAGAAGCCAAGGCCATCTGCTGAGAGGCAGAGAAGTGAGAGTGACATTGGAGGTTTAAAGAGAAAAGGAGGAGGTTTGGACCAGCTTTGAGAGGAGTGGGGCAAGCAAACAAATATCAATGATTTTCTTTGCATCAATGAGGGTTCCATTTGGATTCAATAACTTGGTTGCATAATGGATGCAATCAATGAAGGAGCAGATGTGGCAGCATTAAGGGTTATTAAGGGTGATTAAGGGTTCGTGACCAGCAAAGGTGAGGAGGGATGGTGAATGGTGGGGAGGACAAGAGGACAAATAGAGTCAAGATTGCAGGACAATGTGAAGTTGAACTGGTCAACTCTAGAGTCAAAGCTGCAAAGGGAATAAATGAGGCCAGAGACAGATGTGGTAAACTGGAGGAGTGGAGGATTGGGCAACAAAGGATAGATTTAGAAGGGTGAGTGTAGAACTCTAGAATGAAGGAGAGAGGCAAGGTGGCACAGTATATTAGAGGAATGGACTTGGAATCTGAAAACTATGATTTGGACCCCTTCTTGGATGCAAACCACTCATGTGACCCTGGGCAAAACATAGGTTTGGATCTTTTTTAGGACCCATACTAGTTGTAAGACCTTGAGCAGGTGACTTTACCTTATTCAGCCTCATTTTCTTCCTCTGTAAAATGGGAATAATGATAGTAGCACTTAACCATACATAATTTATGGAAACCTCAAAACACTATATAACAGTAGCTATTGTTATTTATTAATGATGAAACTCAGATTCCAAAGCATACAGTGCAAGGAAGGCAGAGGAGAGGGATTAGAGTGTGATGAGGTCAAAGGTGATACAGTAATAGTACTATGGGGAGAGGTAGATAGGGTTAGGAGAATTTTACCTGTGTAGATATAGGAACTCTGATGGGCAGGGATTTAGAAGGGAGTGAAATATAAAACTCTGATAACCATAACTGGAAAAATAGCAACTGACGGAGTCTTCTTCCAGCATCCTTTGATGCTAGAGGACAGCAGTGGTACAAGTGTTTTCCTCCCTTTAACACGGGAGCTTGAGGTTGGGGGAAGACGTTGGTACCAAAGGCCTGAGTCCCCATGAACCATACTGGGCTCACACTCTAGCTATATGTCAGCATGCCAGAAGGTACACCCAACAGAAATCTTCCACTTGAAGCATGCTCTTTGGCAGTCCTGTCATCTGTGACCCTGGTCCCTTTGGCATTTGATCTGATACCTAAAGCCCTAGTTAGGATGGCATTTGACCTTTGTCCCAGACTCTCCAGTATCAGGCACAGTTGCCATCCTCTAGATTAGCTTCTGGTTTGTCTCTGCAAAAATGTGGCACCCAGAACAAGCAATATAATTTTCCATGAGTTCATAAAATGTAGTCCAACCCCTACCTAAAGCATGGACATCCTCTACAAGAAACATCTATAGCTCTATTTGACTATTTCCAATCTCCAGGAATTCACTCCTTTGGACTATCTCCCCATACTGTCATGCAAGTACAGACTCCTTGGGTGGAATCTTTGCCACCGAAGCACCATGTCTACTGCTGGAGTCAAATTGGAAAAAGAGAATAGACACTCCAGGGCACAGACTGGGCAATGGAATCTGTTGCCCCATCAACCACATGATCTAGCTCCCCTGCTAGACTGAAAGCTGCATGAGGGCAGGAACCATATATTCTTTATTTTGGCTATCTTCTTTCAATGTTAATCACAGTATACCAGGCAGTTAGGTGATATTATGGATAGAATACTAGACTTGGACTCAAGAAGATCTGAGTTCAAATCTTGCCTCAGACACTTAATAGCTGTGTGGCTCTGAACAAGTCACTTACTCTACCTCAACCTCAATGTCTTCATCTATAAAATGGGAATAATAATAGCACCTACCTCTGAAAATCACTGTGGGAATTAAATGAGATATCTGTAAAGTGCTTTGCAAACCTTAGAGTGCTATAGAAATACTAGCTACTACCATGATGGTACATGGTACAGAAGGTACTTAACAATTGGTTACTGACTGTATGCAGGGAGGGATGGATACATAATCAGATGGAGGGATGAGTATCAGGAAAAACAGGGATCAATCCATGGCAGGTCTAATCCCTGGCTCAGTCCTCACTGCATTTTTTCTGTCTCTTTGCAACAGATGAACTACTTACTCCCACACAGAGAGATCACTGGCAGGAACAGCTGATTCAGGTAAGAAAAGCTGGCCACATATCAAGCTGAATGGGTAATAATGTCAATAATAATAATAATTAATACTTCTTCAGCATTCTAATGGTGTCTCAAACTACTTTCCTCACAACACCCTGCGAGAGTGTTGCATGTATCATAGCCATTTTACAGAGGAGGAAACTGAGGCTCAGAGTGGTGACATGCTCATACAGACAACAACAATAACTAGCATTTATATAGTGCTAAGGTTTGCAGACCATTTTACAATATTATCTCGATTGATCCTCAAAACAACTTCTATTTTATAGAGGTGGAAACTAAGGCTGAGGGAGATTTAGGATCTCACAGCTATAAATGACTGATTTTTACTCAAGTCTTCCTGACTTCAAGAGCTCTGCTCTATCTACTGTGCCACTGAGTTGCCTCAGAGATGAAACTTGGACCCTGGTCTCTCTGACACCAAATCCAGAGCTTTTTCTGATACTTCATGATGAAAATAGTCTCCTAGAAAGCCCATCATCCTAGAAAGCTCCATGGGTCAAAGACAAATGGCAATTGTGCATTGACCTTGAGGGTCTATGGAAGGTAAAGGACGATTTTCTGACCTTCAGAGGCCAAGGACCTAGAAATTACCTACTGTGAAGCATGTGATGCTTTCAGATCTCTATCCTGGTGAACTTGGTCAGTGCAAAAGTCTGCTTTATGAATATGAGGCAGCTAGGTGCCACCGTGGATAGAGCATTGAACTTGGAATCAAGAAGACCTGAGTTCCAATCCTACTCATAAACTTGTTAGCTATGTGACCTTAGGCAAATTACTGAACTCCAATGTGCTTCAGTTTCCAAATGAGGGAACAATATCAGCACCTGCCTCTCAGGCTGCTTGTGAGGATCAAATGAGTTAATATGTAAAGCATTTTTCAAACCTTCAAGATTGGTACATGGGGACATGAGAGTAGAGGAGAAAACCTGCAAGAGTAAGAAGTAGCTGAATAAAAAGGCCTGGAGTTCAAGGAAAGTCCTGAGCAGAGCTTTGAAAGAGAAAGGAGCTGTGGTTCAATAGAAAGGATGATGGATTTGAGGCCAGAAGAGCTGAGTTCAAATTTTGGCTTGGGGGCTCTCTCCCTCTGTCAGTTTCCTCTCTCTAGACCCAAGTTTCTCCATTTATAAAGTGATGTTGGACTAGATAACTTCCAAGCTCTCTTCCAGCTTTCTATCTTTTAAACACGAAAGCCTGTGAAGCCTGACGTGAGATTTGGTAGAGGATGAGGAAGGGAGGAAGCATTCCTGGCAGGGTGGGCAGCAGGTGCAGGAGCTTAGGAGCCAATGAGGGTGAAGCATGTATAGGAGACAAGTAGGAACCAGGAGGTTTTGACCAAACCCCCCAAAGCGACAGCCTGAGCAGGCTAGATGAATCACCAAGATGCCAAGCCACCTTGTCTTCTCAAACCTGCATTCCCCCAGATCTCCTTCTATCACATTTCTCATTCCTTTTAGGTTTGGGGATCAATAACCAAATGCTAGAACCTCACAACTGGAAGGAACCTTATCGGTCACCTAATCCAGCTTCCCATCCCAAATAGGCATCCCTTTTACAGCCCCTTTCCCACCCTTCCCTACCCCCTGCAGGTATTTGCCTAATCCCTTATGGAACATTTCCCATTAGGGAGCTTCTAATCATTGGGTCTGTGTTGACAAGTCTGCTTTAAGAGGGGAAACCCCCCCTCCAAAAAAAAAAAAAACTTGTACTAGATGTTATGAGTCTGCTATGCCCAAAACTGTTGAAGGCTTATAATCTTAAGGCTTAGACACAGAATACCAGGAAACTAAACTCCACAAAATAAATCCACAATTTTGCTCAAGAAAGAGAAAAATGTAATGGGAACACCCAGCCCATGGATGATTAGCTCACAAACAAGCATGCAGTCTACAAAAATGATTCCTTTATAATGTAAATAGAATAATTAATAATAATCCTAGAAATATGTCATAATTATTCCTGGAAAGAGGATTAGTAATGATATCTATTCTAGAAGCAGCGAAGCCTGCCTGAACATGAGGCCATATGGACTTCTCATCACCTATGAGAACAACAGACAGAAACGAAGACAAGGAAAGACAGACAGAAAGAGAAAAGGGGAGGGGAAAGGGGAGGATAGGGAATTAGGAGAAGAAGAGAGGAAGAAAAAAAATTGCAACCAGACCTGTTCTCCTTGAACTTAACTCAATTTAAGCAGATCTGAGATAGCTAGCAAGGTTGGGCCACATTTCTCTCTTATGGCCATACAGAAGGGAAAGACCGAGGACACAGCCAAGAGGCTACTTCCTGGTTTGCCAGCAAAAAGGGAAGAGAGTAAGCAAAAATCAAGAGAAAATATCCCTTAACACCTGACTGATGCCTCACTTACTACTACGTTCAAACGAGGTCATGGACCTTTTATCATGTATCTTTAACTCTCTTCTCTCCCAAAGAATAAGACAATCCCTATCTTCATTAGAAGTTGTGCCATCCTGGAACAGCTAGGTGGTGCAGTGGATAGAGCACTGGCCCTGAAGTCAGGAGGACCTGAGTTCAAATCCAGTCTCAGACCAAACATCTGACACTTACTAGCTGTGTGACCCAGGGCAAGTCACTTAACCCCAATTGCCTTAAAAAAGAAAAAAAAAGTTGTGCCATCCCATATTGCCCCACTAATCTATCTGGACACTTTATGGTGAGAATAATGTGCAATACACAGGCACGAAGAGTATAAGTTGAGTTACCAATGATATTCAGATGTCTGCTCTTTCTGCCTTGTTCCTCAATCTGGTTAACTACCAACTTCTGTGCTGGTGAATGGTGGTATCTAGTTTGGGAAAGTGTCATAGCCAATTTGACAATTTATTGATCATAAAATAACAATAAACCTCTAGCTTTATTCTTTTTATTTTTTATTAATTTATTTTGATTTATCAACAATCACTTCCATATGCTTTTGAGTTTAAAATTTTTCTCCCCCTTCCTCCCCACCACCCTTCCCAAGACAGCACGCAATCTGATATAGGCTATACATACACATTCCTATTAAACATATTTTCACATTAGTGATGTTGTAAGGAAGAATTAGAACCAATAGAAGGGAACACCAGAAAGAGGTAACAAAACTCAACAGAAGAGAAAAAAAACAGCAATTGAACTTCCATAGTTCTTTCTTTGGATGTGGATAGCATTTTCCATCACAAGGCCTCTGGAGATGTCCTAGATCCTTCTATTGCTGGGAAAGGTTAAGTTTATCAATATTAGTCACTGCACAATGTAGCTGTTATTGTGTACAAAGTTCTCTTGGTTCTGCTCACTTCACTCAGCATCAGACCATACAAGTCTTTCCAGGTTTTTCTGAAGTCAGCCTGTTCATCATTTCTTATAGCACAATAGTATTCCATTACATTCATATACCACAACTTGCTCAGCCCTTCCCCAACTGATGGGCATCCTCTCAATTTCCACAAAAAGAGCTGCTATGAACACTTTTGTACATGGGGGTCCTTTTCCCATTTGTATGATCTCTTTGGGATATAGCCCTTGCAGTGCTATTGCTGGGTCAAAGGGTATGCACATTTTTATAGCCCTTTGGGCATAGTTCCAAATTGCTCTCCAAAATGGTTGGATCATTATACAACTCCACCAACAATGCATTTGTGTTCCAATTTTCCCACATCTTCTCCAGCATTTATCATTTTCCTGTTTTGTCATGTTGGCCAGTCTGATAGGTGTGATGTGGTACCTCAGAGTTGTTTTGATTTACATTTCTCTAATCAATAGTGATTTAGAGCATTTTTTCATGTGACTATAGGTGGCTTTAATTTCTTCATCTGAAAACCGTTCATATCCTTTGACCATTTATCAGTTGGGGAATGGCTTGTATTTTTAATTGGGGAATGGCTAGCTTTAAAAAAAAAAAGTTGTACCATCCAGGAATTAGTTTGGAACACAGGTAGCCTGACCCCATTATGTGAAGAGAAAGTAATCTACCACCATCTACTCCACAGGACTCCTTGGCACTGCATCTCTGGATGAAGGGAGTCCTACCCTATATTTCTTTGGGGGGTTTTTTGTTGGTTTTTTTTTTTTTTGCTTTTTAGGCAATTGGGGTTAAGTGACTTGGCCAGGGTCACACAGCTAGTAAGTGTCAAGTGTTTGGTCTGAGGCTGGATTTGAACTCAGGTCCTCCTGACTTCAGGGCCGGTGCCCTATCCACTGTGCCACCTAGCTGCCCCTCCTATATTTCTTATAGAAAGCAAGCTATCCCCTCAGTAATACCCTCAAGTCTTTATACTGGCAGAGAGTTACATAGACATCTAGAAGGTGTGATTTGATAGCTGTGATAGTGACTGGGATGTGAAGAAACTGAGAAAGCCTTGTCCCATGTGTCAAACAGGAAAAAACTTGGATTTAAAAGCTGTAAGGGTAGAATTATGGGTATGAAGACAAGAGAGGGGCAGCTAGGAGGTCCTGAGTTCAAATCCAGTCTCAGGCCAGATACTTGACACTTACTAGCTGTGTGACCCTGGGCAAGTCACAACCCCAGTTGCCTCGACCAAAAAAAAAAAAGACAAGAGACTGAGCAATATGAAAATTCAAGGCATTGAAAACCTGACCTTGGGGAGATGTGTGGGTGCTAGTTGAGGCAAAAAAAGGGGGGGCCCTTGATTCTCTCCTACCCAGCTCTGAAAGGGAGAGATTCAAATATGCCATCTCAATGACTTCTTAATATCTGCCCACAGATAGGAGCCAGGTCTGTTCAGTTCTTAACAGTAGATGGATGGGCAAAGTCACTAATGCTTGCTGTCACCAGACCTGACCGGACTTACGCGGAGCAAAATCCAGAAAAGGTTTGTTTTCAGAGATCTCCGCTTCCCTCCACACTAACATTCACTGCCTCTTCTACTTCCCTACCTGAGGTCATGGCATCTCTGTTCACCTAATGCCATGATCCACACTGGGAAGGAAAGTAAATTGACCACCCTCCAACTTAACCTCCTCTGTTGGGGAAACCATCACATATCATTACAGTTCATAACTATATAGCATTTGGGGTTTTACAAAAATACTTTGCTCATAATTTCCCTGTAGGGTAGGTAATATATAAATAATGGCCCCCCACTTTACAGATGGGCACAGTGAATAAAGCTCTGGGTGTGGAGTCAGGAAAATCTGAGTTCAAATCTGACCTCAGACACTTACTAGCTGTGTGACCCCAGGCAAGTTACTTAACCCTGTTTGCTTCAATTTCTTCATTTATAAAATAAGGTGGGGAAGGAAATGGCAAATCACTTTGCCAAGAAAACCCCAAATGGGGTCACAAAGAGTCAAACATGACTGAAATGATGGAACAACATTTTATAGCTAAGGAAACAAACTACCTGGGGAGCATAAAGCATCCTGCTCAGGGCCACACAACTAATAACTATCAGAGCCAAGGCTTGAATCCAAGTTGTTTGACTACAAGAATAATAGACCTTCCCTTTTTCCCTTTTATTAAAATTCTGATTTAACAAATACCATATAAAACGTGCATTTCCATATACACAATAGAACAAAATAAAGGATTATACATGAAACTGCAGTTCCCTATAATGTATAACTTGGTTTTATTTTATAGCAGGTTCAACTGGTAACTTTCAAAGCTCTCCTTATCTGTGTGCATCTTTTTGACCTTCTTGTGTGTTTTCTCCTCTTCATTTTTTAAATTCAATTTTATTTTGGTCTTGGTTCTGAATTCTCTTCCTCTTTCTTCCCCCTCCACTAACCAATTAAGAAGGCAAAAAAAAAATTATACATATGTAACGTGGTCATGCTAAACAAATTCCTGCATTAGTAAAGAAAGAAAGAGAGAGAGGAAGAAAGAAAAGAAAAGGAAGGAAGTAGAGAGTAGAAGGGAGGGAGGGAACAAAGGAAGGAAGGGAAAGGGGAAAGAGAAAGAAAGGGGAACAAAGAAAGAAGAAAGTAAAAGAAAGAAAAAGAGAGAGGGAGAGAGGAAGGAAAGGAAAAAAGGGAGGGAGGGAAAGAGAAAGAAGGAAGAAAGGGAAATAGGAAAGAAAAAGAAAGGGAGAAGGGTAGGAAAAAAGTAAAAAGAGACAGAAACAAAGAAAGTAAGTAATAGAAACAAAAAAAAGAAAAAGAAGGAAACAAAGAAAGAAAGAAAATATGCTCTCGTCTGGGTCTGTCTGCTCTCCATCTGAAGATTGACAGCATATTTCATGTTTTTATCTTTTCATGTTTCAAGAAAGATACCTCAATAACCATCTTTTGTTCTTAGACCAATACACTTTCCATTACACCACACTGCCCTCATGAGTTTCAGTTGGAGTGGGAGGTTGGGAAGGAGAGGGGCTCTGAAGAAAGAAACAAGGCCTTGCCTACAACTTTGGTATGAGCAATGTTGCCTTCCTTTGTATCGCCTCAAATGCCATTCTGCCTTCCTCTCCATCTTTGCATCCTACCCAGCCTCCAAAGCCTAGCTTTAGTCCTGCTCCTTAAGGCAGGAACTTCCCTGGCCACTCTAGGCCACCTTCATCTCTTCCTTCTCGGAATCCTTCTACAATTCTTAAGCATCAGCAATAGTAATTCAGTGGTCACTTAGCATGTCCTGCATTTTCAAATCAAGTATTTATTGAGGCCCTACCATATGCAGAGTACTATGCTAGGGAAGGAAGGTGGCGTTGTTGAGTAGTTTCAGTCATGTCCGACTCTCTGTGACTCCCTTTGGGGTTTTCTTGGCAAAGATACTAGAGTGGTTTGCCATCTCCTTCTTCAGCTCATTTCATAGTTGAAGAAACTGAGGTAGATTGAGTTGAGGAAATGGGACTTGCCCAGGGTCACACAGCTAGTATCTTAGGCTGAATTTGAACTCAGGTCCTTCTGACTCCAGGCCAGTGCTCTATCCACTGCACTACCTAGCTGCCCTTATATTTAACTACTTTGTGTGTATGTACATATGTATGTATGTATGCATGCATATATGTATGTATGTATTCATTAACCTTATATGTGTGTATACATAATTTTTCTTTTTCTTTGCCACTAGAATGTAAGTTCATTGCAACTAGGGTTTGTTTCCCTTTTTTGTATTTGTATCCTCAGCACCTAGCCCAGTGCCTGGCACATAGTCAGCTCATAATAAATACTTGTTGATTATCACTGTTTAATTTATTTCTCTCTTTACTGTCTTGATCTTTCAGTGTCTCCACTCTCTCTCTGTCTCCTGTCTCTCTTCTCTGGCCTCCCTCCCTTCTCTCACCGGCATGAAACCATTGTCTTGCCCCACATAAATACTAAGAGATAAACAGAGTATTTATGTGGGGCATTTTCTACCCTCTATAAAGGAAGGCATTGGGTGGAGTTTGGTACTCTGTCCTGCAGCCCCACATCAGAGGTGAGAACTAACACCTACCCTCTACCTCATATCATCAAACTCCATATAAATGTCAGCGGCTTTTTGTCATCTGTAAAAACATACTGTCTGCTCCCCAGGTGATGGTGGGGCTCAAATGAGAAGATGCATGTTGAGAGCTTTCTAAACCTTAAAACATTACTTAAATGTTAGTTATCATTATTCATTAGGATCTCAGGGAAGGCTTTACTGGAAGGGGCTCTAACCCACCATTCCAAGCAGTTAAGTGGTGCAGTAAATAGAGTGTTAGGTATATAGTCAGGAAGACATGAGTTCAAATCCAGCCTCAAACAATTGCTAACTATATGACCCTGGACAAGTCACTTAAACCTTTGTCTGCCTCCATTTCCTCAACTATAAAATGAAGATAATAATAATACCTACCTCTCAGGATCCTGGTGAGGGTCAAATATGATAATATTTGTGGAGTACTTAACACAGTGTCTGGCATATAATAGGTGCTTAATAATAAATGATTACTTCCTTTCAGGCTTATTTCACTGAACTCTTCATTCCAGCCAAACTGGGCTACTAGCTATTCCCCAAATCTGACATTCCATTTTCCTTCTCCCTGCACTTGTATAGACTTTTCCCATGCCAGGAAGGACCTCCTTCCTCATCTCTATTTTTCAGAATATCTATTTTCCTTCAAGGATCAGCTCAGCTATAACCTCCCCACAATGCCATTCCCAGCCCTAGCCCTTAAGCTCCTGGTGTTCTCCCTTTCCTCAGTTTACCTTATCTTTTTTAATGTTACATCCCTCTGGAGAATGTAAGCCCCTTCAAGCCAAGGGCTGCTTCATTTTTTCCCTTTGAATCTCTAACATCTAGCATTGCCTTGTTTATAGTAGTCACTTAATACTTGAAAGAGCCCCTAGGTCTTCTCCTCACTCTGGCCCAGGTATCAGGTGGTACTTCCCTGTATAACTCTAACCTTGTACCTTTCTCAGACTTTCCTGTTCATCTACTATGGGATGATTCTCCGAGCAGCCAACAACAGCTCCATGGTCAGGAAACACCTAAGGTCACTTCTGGACACATCCCATCAGTCCCTGCAACAGAGAGAGGTGATCATATCAATAGCTATTCCCAGACTGTTCTAGTGCATGTCTGACTCTGTAAGGCCTGTGAAGAACTCATCCATTCTCCAAATATACCTGATATCTTGGTCATAAATTGAACACTAATCCATTCACTGGCTGAACCTTATCCCTAACTAAAGACGACTTCCTCAAACTCCCATCACAGCCTGAGCCCTAAACTCAACCACAGATTAGGTCCTAACTCCCACTACAGACCGAGTGCTGACCCTATGACCAGCCTTGACCATCATCACAGACTAAGATCTAACCCTGGTCCCAGGCTGAAGTCTAACCCTAACCCTAGACTAAACTCCCCATAGCCACAGACTGAGTAAGGCCTGCTTCTGTCTATAGACTGGTCTAAGCTTAGAAACTAAACCCTAATTCCAAGCATACATTGTCATCTAATTTCATCTTCATTATCCCATATCCGCTACCTCTGGGTACAGACAACTTCCCTAGATGTAAGGTAGCAGGCAGAGTCATGTGGCTCTCAAGCAGGGGTGTCCTGGTGCCAGCGCTTACCAGCTCATCTGAGTGAATTGTTAAATTTTCAGTGTGAGCATTTATACCTCAGAAATAGGCAAACCACAATCAGAGGCTTGATTTATTCTTTTGTTGATTATCTAGACATAAGAAAATGATAGAGAAAATCATAATAATGTGTCCTGCTTACATTTTTTCCCCCAGAGAGCCAATTGTCAAACATTTACTAACCCACTTCCGCCCTTAGGGGAAATCCAGCAGGCTTGGCATATTCTCATACCTAAAGGGTAACTGTTCATATCTCTGTAGTGCTTTAAGATTTACAAAGCATTTTCCTCACAGTGATTCCATGAGGCAGGAGGTACAAGTCCTATTGTCTCCATTTTGCTACCTTAGACAGGCTTCCTGATTCTGTATCCAGGGCCCTTTCTACCATTTTTGTCTATACGCCAATGTAATAGGGGAACCAAATAGTAAGTGCCCAATCCTTAGAAAGTGGCCAGTCACATAGTATAATTTTTTTATTTTATTTTTAATTTATGGAATAAAATAAGCATTTTTATAACATAGTATAATAAAAAACAAAGATAATTGGACATAAAACTGCAAATCTATTATCTACAACTTGTTATTCTTTATAGGAATTCCAAGTTTGGCCTCTGTCCCCTTCCAAAATTCCCCCTGTCCCCATGAATACCATCTGATCATTAAAGCCTAAAATTCAGTAAGGTCCTGAGTTTCATTTAGTATGATATGGTATGATGGAAAGAACCCTAGACTGGGAGTCAAAATATGTGCATTCATATCCTGGTCTTTTTTTTAAACCACAGTACTATGGGGCAGCTAGGTGGAGCAGTGGGTCAGGCACTGGCCCTGGACTCAGGAGGACCTGAGTTCAAATTGTGGCTTCAGACACTTAACACTTGCTGGCTGTGTGACCCTGGGCAAGTCACTTAGCCCTGATTGCCTTGCCAAAAACTTTTTTTTCAAAAACTACAGTACTATGGGAAGAGCACTTATCATTCAGAGCCTCAGTTTCTTCATCTATAACATAATAAAGGGGAAGGGAAGGAGGAAGGGTGTTGAAAAGAACACATATTTATTAAGCACTTATGTGCTAGGCATTAAATGCTTTCTTCACAACAACCCTGGTAGATAGGTGCTATTATTTATCTTGATTTTACAGTTGAGGAAACTGAGGCCGACAAAGGTCAAATGATTTACTCAGTGTCACACACCTAGCAAATGTCTAATTCCAGATTTGAACTCAGGTCTTCCTGACTCCAGGAACAGTACTCTATTCATTGCTCTGCCTAGCTACCTCAATCCCAGAAAATGCATTGGCTTTTCGGTCCCTCACTTCACCTCCCTGGGTGTCAGTTTCCTCATCTGTAAAACTGTAGGATTGGACTAGATTACCTCTAAGAGCCCTCCCATCTTTAAATCAATGATCCTAAAAAAAAAAGAGAGAGAGAAAAAGAGACTAACATTGATATACCCTATCTCACAGGGCTTCTGTGAGGAGGAAGTGCATTGTAAAATGTAAAGCAATATATGAATGCTATTGATTTTGACAGGAATTCAGGACACCTGAGTTCTAGATCTGCCTTTACCACTGACTCACTGTGTTATCTAGGGGGAATGATGTCCCTTCCCTTCTCTGGGGCTCAGTGTCCCTGTGGGATAAGCCATTTCTCCTCTAAGGTCCCATGAACCTTGGACCAATCTGCCTTGCACTGGGAACCCACAGTTTACCAGCATCCCTACTTCTCTTGTCCCCTTACAGGGAATTGCCCTCACCATAGGGTTAACAGCAGCACGACATCTGGATGATGCTTGGGCAGTCCTGGACCAGTTTGGCCGGACAGGACCTTTGAAGCAGATTCTTAACAACTTTAACATTAAGGTATTTGCATCCTGTGGCCACAAAGGAACTCTGCCACACTCCCCCTCTCCTCTTCACAGGGACATTAAATAATAAGGGGTCTATGACACATAACCTGTCTAATGTTCAGCATCAATCTCTCCATCTCTGAGCCACAGTTTTAGTAACTATAAAATGGGGGATTTGTGTTAGCTCTTCTCCCAAGTCCTTTTGATCTCTAAAGCCTCTTGTATCAAAGAATCTCACCTTCAGGATTCCCTGCAACACCCACCTCCCCCTTCCAAACAGGAATACTTCCTCAAATTACAGTTCACCCACCATCAGCATCATGCAAGGACCTATGACAGTCACTGCTCCCTAGAACAGCATAGAAAAAAGAGGACAAGTGGAAAGAAGCAGAGGATGGGCAGCAGAGATTCCAAGTGGTAGAGAAAAGAATTGGAAACCTGAAGAGATTATAAGGACAAAGAAATATTGCATGGAATAAATAGGCAGGGTGGGGCAGAGGAAGAGGGACTAACACCAACACAGCAAAGAGAAAACACCTAGAAGAAAATTAGAAAGGAAAGAGGCGTTTGCATATGTGAATACATGAGTCACCAAATCAATTCTCTTCCTTGACTGACTAAGCTGTATGAAGGCATCATATATCTTCCCCAACATAGAGCTCAGGGCCCTATACTTAGGATATGCTCAATAAATATTTGTTGAATCGGTCAGTCAATAAGTGGATCAATGAACAAGATTTGTTTAGGGCCAGCCAGGCAAGAAGGGCTTGGATTCTTGCTACCATGCGTTGACTTTCCCCATGATATGAACTTCTCCAGGCCTGGAACCCAACCACCCTTTTCAAGTCTATACATTTTATAAATTGGGGAAAACAAGGGCCCCAGCATGGGCTGCCACCTCTTGACTTCCTCCCCTTCCCTCTCCAGGAAGAATTAGGGAACTGAACCCAAGCTCCTTACCAGAGAGGCATATTGTTCAGGGAAAATTGATGGATTTGGAGTCAGAGGACCTGGGTTCAAATCCCAGCTCTGCCATTTACTATCCATGATATTGGGCAATATATTTAACCTCTCCTGGACTCATTTTCCCACTCTGTAAAATGATGGGATTATACTCACTGACTTCTAAAGGTCTAACCTCCTAGTTCTAAATCTATGATCCTGTGATACCTGTCCTCAGGACACCACTGTCCGAAAACAGTGATGCCTGTCGACAAACCCAATGTTGAAGGCTCTGTTTGATTGTTCATTCCTTCTGCCATCTCCCCAGGAGGAAGAAGACCCAAAGTGGAGGTGGGCCAGAAGTACCATCCTTCTCTCCTATGGGCAGATGGCAGCCAAGGCCAAAGAGAATATCCTCCCTTGGGTGGACAACATCTCCTCGAGAATGGTCTTCTACTTCCAAAGTAGCTACTGGGTATGAAAAATGCTGCCTGCTCATAGAGAACCAGAAATTAAGATCACAGACTCTCTTCGAATCTCCAATTCAAAAGCACAGAGACATAGAATCTTAGAATTACATACAAAATATTACAATCAGAATCATAGGACAATGGAGACATGGAGTCTTAAAATTATAAAACCTCCCTTGTCTCATTGAAGCATGAAAAGACTAGGGGGAACTCTGCCTTCTCAAAGGCTAAACCAACAGAACCAGCTCTTGTAGGCCCTACAAAGATGGAAAGGAAAGTCTTTTGAGTGTAGGCCTGGTGATAAATTTCTTTCAGTTTGCTGAAGGCCTGCTTAGCTAAATGGAGAAACACGCATTTCCTGTTTTGTCACAGGTGCTTAGGAAACCATTTATAAGTTGTGGAGGGGTATGTGTTAATGAAGGGCAGCACCCATATGGGTAAAATTATTGTCGTGGGAGATATTTTCTGTGTTGGCTTCATACTCCTCCATCTTGGGATATTACTAATGAGTTGGTGACATGAGAGAGTTCTTTCTGATCTCTGGGGGCTTGGACATCCAGGCTGAACTTTCTGCTACCGCCTCCGCCAACATCATAGTATTCAGAGAGGCAACATTGTGCCTGAGCCATCCTTTAATATCATAAAACCCAGAAAGGTAAAAGCCCCAAACAACTGGTTCCTATGACTATATAGTCATATAAATATCCCTTTCCATACTGCCCTTTCTCGGTACTCTTGTCTAATTCAAGTCCACCCTACCACCTCTCAGCCCTTTACATCCTCAAGCCTCCCTTTTTAAGTGCAGCCCTTTAACTGTATTCAAACTTCACAGAACAAATCCTTTTATTAAGAGGATTTGTTCTGTGAAGTTTCAATTCAGTCAAAGGGCTGCACTTGAGGATCTAGAGGGCCACATGTGACCTCGAGGCCACAGGTTCCTCAACCCTGCCCCAGATCATCCCTGCTTCTCTACCCTATTCATATCATGGACCATATAGTTGCCAAGAACATTGTTCTCCACCCTTGACCTCTCTTGCCTGTGGTCTTAACCACAATTCATCCTTGCTAATCTTCAACCCTGTGTCACTTCTACCATCTGCCTTTTCCATAACCCCAAATACTTCTGGAGGATACAACCCCACTGTTCCAATTGAATCTATTTCAAATTCATATTATTTAATCTCAGCTAGGCCCTCTTTCTCTTCTTTCCTCAGGCCTCTCACACCATCATCTGCTCTCTCTTAACCCCACTCCCCACAGATGTCATTATCTTCTTTTCCAAGAAAATAGAGTCCATCCTTTATGAATTCCCTCATTGCCTCCTATTCCACACCTCAAAATCTGTCTATATCTTTACCCAGATGTATCTCCATTACTCCTTTTTTGTTTTTGAGGCAACCTCTCAACCTTTATCCTTCAATCCCTTTCCCTCCTATCTCTTCTAGGAGCTTGCCTCATTGAATATTGCCCCTCTTTCTCTCATAATCAATCTCTTGTCTTTCTATTGGCTCTTTTCCTGCCTACAAATGTACTCTGGTCTACCTCAACCTGAAAAAGCCCTCACTTGACTCTGCTATCCCCTCACGCTATCATTGTGTAAGTCTTCTCCCTTGCACAGTCAAATGACTAGAATGAGTTGCACATGTTTGCTCTACTTCTTCATTACCCCCCTCACTTCTCACCCTCTTTCAATCTGGCCTTGAACTCCACCACTTGACTGGTTACCAAAGATCTTTTAATCTCTCAGTCTTCAACCTCCTTGACTCTCTGCAACTTTTGATATTCAAAAAGTACTCTCCTTCTTCCATGGAATGGTTGCCTCATTTCTCATCTTCCCTGTCCGTATCCTTTTCAAATCCCTTTGGCTGGATAATCATCCATTGTGCTCCCTATTAACATGATATTTTTCATCACTTCTAGCCCCTCTTCTCTTCTCTACTGTTCTCTCTTGGAAATTTCAACTCCCATGGACAGTACCCATATCTCTATGTCTAGCCCTGATCTAGTCCATCTCTTAAATTCTAGGCTAGAATTATCAGTATCATCAACTACTGTTGAATTTCTCTTCCTGGATGCCCTACAGGCATTTCAAACTCAACTTGTTAAAAAGGTTGTATTGCTGTATTCTTCAACTAAAATCTCCAGTCCTCCAAACTTTCATATTTCTGTTGCAGGTGCAAGTTAGGTTCAAGACCATGGAGTCATCCTGGACTCTTTCCTCCTCCTTCCCTCCTATATCCAATCATTTGACAAATCTTTTTGTTTTTGTTGAGTCTAACCCCAAAACATCTCTTGTTTGTGTGAGTAGCAAAAAGGGGATAAACACAACACCCTAACTTAGGCTCTTATCTCTCATATGTATGTATTACTGTGAAATCCTCCTAACTGGCCGCCCAGTTTCTCAGAGTTGGGAAGACCCTCAGCCTGACTTCTCACTGAGTAGGAAATCCCTTCTTTAGCATCCCTACACATGAGTATCCATCCTCCTTCTTGAAGGCCTAAAGTGACAAGAAAATTCATTACCTCTAAAACATACCATTACACTTTGGGTCAGCTCTAATTTCCAAGGAAGTTTTTCCTTCCTTCAAGCCAAAATTTGTTTGCAACTTCCTTCCCACTGCTCCTAGAATAAACAGAATAAATATAATCCTTCCTTGATGTGACAACCATTCAAATAGTTGATGATGGAGCTGGCATATCTCTCTTGTCTTCTCTTCTCCATTCCCCCTTTTCTTCAAAGTTTTAACAGCTTTAAAATACACTAACACTTTTGGCACACTCTGTACATGGTGTTTTACAGTCCCCTCATCATCCTAGTGAGCCTATTCCAACCCTTCTCCAGCTTTGTCCTTCCTCAAATGTGGTGCTCACATCATCATCCCCATCTTAGAGAGAAGGAAACTGAGACTCAGGTTGAGTGATTTCCTTGGTGTCACATAGCTAGTCAATGACAGAGCACGGAGCTGGACCCAGATGTTTTCTGACTCCAGTTCACAAACTTTTTCCAGTTCCTTGCTACTGTCCTTAAATATATTCAAAATAAAAGACCTACATGAATTTGTGGGTGTGATTACTGAGCCCCTATTGTAAACTTGCAAGGGCTTGTGGAGAACAGAAGAGGTGCCATATACCTAGAAACAGATAAGGGTGGTCCCATTTTGCAAAAAGAGAAAGAAAATGGACTCTGCAAAGTAGTCACCATTGAATTTGATGCCTAGTCTCTAAGTTCTCAAAGGATTATAAAACAGATGGATTTTGAGAACTTTGAAGGGGAAGTGATCTTCACTTGAAACTAGAAAAGATCCCCAAAGAATAAATTTTTTTCCAAATCAACCTCATTTCCTTTTTGAAAGAGTTATTGAATTAGCAGACTATTTAAAATTAGTCTACCTGGAAATTAGCAAAGCTTTGGCAGAACCTCCCTCAGAATTCTCATGAACAAGATGGAGAAATATGGCCTAGATGATCGTAGAGTTTGGAGGATTCAGAAGTGGTGGAATGAGCAGACCCAGACTGTTAATTAATGGGTGAATGACATCCTACATGGAGATCTTTAATGAAATGCCAAATGGGTTCTGTCTGGAGTCTTAAGTCTGTTCAACATTTTAATATTTATGTATTTATCTAGCCTATGTATGTATGTATTTGTTTGTTTGTTTTACACAGCTCGGTGATATAATAGTTAAAGTACTGAGCATGGAATCAGGAAGATCCAAGTTCAAATCTAGTCTCATACACTTACTAAATGTGTGACCCTGCGCAAGTTACTGCTGTCTGCCTCAGTTTCTTCAGCTATAAAATGGGAATAATCATGGTACCCACCTCCCAGGGTTGTCATGAGGATTAAATGAGATAATAATTATAAAGCACTTAGCACTGTGCCTAACACATAATAGATGCTTAACAAATGCTTATTTTCTTCCTTCTTTCCTTCCTTTTTTATGAGTTACTTAGATGAAGTCATTCTAGCATGTTCATCAAATTAGTAGATTATATACAGTTTGGGAGGGAACATATCTAACTCACTGGATGTCAAGAATAGGGACTCAGAAAGGTGCAAATTAATAGGTATTATCTTAAAATCCATCACTTAGGTACAAAAATAAATAAACAAACAGGACAAATATAGGAAGGAAGAGACACAGCTAGAAAACAATGTGAGTTGTGAAAACTAATATTGTGAGTCAAATAATGGCGGGTGAGGCTGGAGAGATTTAGTGTACTGAAAGCTCAATATGAACCAACTGTATGACATGGAAAGCTACACACACACACACACACACACACACACACACACACACACAGTGGTTTTAGACTATGTGACTGGAAACCTAATGCCAAAATAAGGGAACACTCTATTATCCCCTACCCTGGTCAGAACTCCCACCATCCAGAATGGTATTTTCAGGTCTGGGCACATGTTGAGAAAGACCTCAACAGATGATATCAGGAAGGTATAGAAGGAAAGTAATGCAGGTGTTGAAGGGATTTGAAATTAAGTCCATAGTTAAAGAAAATTTGAATTTTTGAGCTTAGAACCAGTTGGGGGATGGCATAACCATGACTTCAAGTACTTAAAGGGCTAACATGTGAAAGAGAGATTAAATTTATTCTGTTTGGCCTCAGAAAAATTAGGAATAGTGGGTAGAAATTGCAGAGAGAGAAGCTGATTTAGGCTTGATGTAATAATCAAATCTGGACAAAAGGGAAATGGGCTTGCCTTAAGAAAGAGCATTTCCCATCCCTGGAGGTCTTCAGGAAATGGCTGAATGACCCCTTAGAAGAGGCAACATGGTACAGTAGAAAGAACATTGGATTTAGAAGACCAGGTTTCAAATCTCATCTCAATCCTTTACAACCTGTGTGACTTTGGATAAGTCACTTCGTCTCTTTTGGCTTCAACTTCCTCATTGGGAAAATAAAGGCATCAGATGATTTAGGTAAGGCACTTAACCTCTTGGCAAAATGAGAGGGTTGAACTCCAGGACCTCTAAGGTCTCTTCTT